TTTTCTCTTATTTTACATCTAATCAACTTTAATTATTTTATTAAAATATTATTTTAATATATTCAACAACAACTAATCATACCATCTTTTTTTAAAGATTAACTATAGTTAAAAAATATATAAAATAAAAACTAGTTCGATCCATAAATAACCACCCTCTTAGCCGTCAAACAGTACATATATACATTAAAATAAGGGTTAATTGCTAAATAAACCTTAATCTTTTTGCGTTTGGCAATTTTATCCCAATCTTTGGGTAATAGCAATATAATCTCGACCTCAATTTACTTATTGCAAGTTCAACGTAAAACCGGTTGGACCTCCAAAAAACTGATTGATTTGAAGGTAGTTCGAACAAATCGGAGCTCATATTAACCGGTTCACTCCAGATCTAGGAGGAGACTCATCACTGGTAGCATACATCGACGTGGAATTTTTGACTTTGTGCGTGGATATACATTAAATACGTGGAAATTGTCAACTTGCTACGTGGATGACATAAAAACCCGTTTCAATGGAAGACTTGGACACAAAATCGATCCACGAATCCCTAAAATCAATCACTCTGCACCCAAATTTGCAATAAGTAAATTAATGTCGAGATTATATTGCAATTACCCAAAAATTGGAATAAAATTACCAAATACAAAAAGATTAAGGTTTATTTAGCAATTAACCTTTAAAATAAATATATAAAAGAGACAAAGAAAGGGCATTGACTAGTTGGAGTTGGGGCCAATGCTGGCCCAACCTAACAAATCATAGTACGTAATTAAGCTGGAGTTGGGGCTAATGCTGGCCCAACCTAACAAATCATAGTACGTAATTAAGATAAGAGTGGCCCAAAACTCGAATGTGTTGTTGATGTTTTTTTTAAAATTTTAAAATGTTGCATTTAACGTGGGATTAGAAGCAATCAAGGAAGATATGTCGCAATATTTTGTCTTTTTATATACTTTTCTCTTTGGAAAAAAAAAAAATATCAAGGATAAAAAGTCCATCTAAAAATAGAGATCACGTTTTAGATGGTTGGTTTTTTTTTTTTTTAAACTTAATAATTGTAAAATTTTTATTTGGAAACTTTTTTCAACCCGGACAGGCCCCATAGGTTGACCCGGGACCCGGCCAATCTGGAGCCGTAATCGGTCCGAGTATGCTATTTGCACCGGGTAGCAATGAACCCGATCAAACCCGGTCGACCCGAGTCATTGATCCAGTCGGGCAACCCAGTTGACCCGGTCCTTATATATTTTTTTATTTTTTTAGAATATTTTTTATATAAAAAATAAAAACTATGTAATATATTGATATAATAAATATTTATTGTGAGATATAATTCCTTTAACACTTTAATGTACAAATTTTATATGCAAAATATTTATTTTTGTTACTTTTATGTATATTTATATGTCAAAAATACTATATATTTTTTTAAAATAATTTAAAATTAATTATTCGGTTCAGCAATTGACGCGGTGACTCGGCGGTTGAATCGGTGACCTGGTGACCCAGAAACCTGCACGGGTCGATTTTCGGGCCGGGTTTAAAAACTATGTTTGTAAACATGTTTTTTTCTCCATCTATTAGGTGTGGCTATTTAATTCCAAAATAAGTATATAAATATATCAGCCCAAATTTACCTAGTTAAACTAATTATAAAGTAGCTAGGGTTAAACCCTATTGATGCATCTACGCGTTTTGCAATTACTGGTAAAGCTGTGGGTAGATAGGCGCAATGAAATATATGTGGTAAATTGGTAATGGTGATGTTACACTGCTGCTGCTGCTGTTAGACAAGTTATGCTATGCTATTTTATATATATATATATATATATATATATATATATATATATATTTTATAAGTATATATATCAAATGAGATATTCTAAAACTCTTGAGGGAGAGTTTTGCCGCCCTTGTGGTCCTATCCGGCTCGATTCCAGATTAGTCGGTTCCCCTGTGGATCCGGAAACCGGAAGATCCCTGTACCAAAAAAAAAAAAATGAGATATTCTAAAAAACAGCAACAAAAAAATAATATTATTTTTGATACCATAAATATGATTTTTTTTTTTTTTTTTAAGAAAAAATATTACGGGTTAGCTCATAAAATTTATGCAAAACCTATAATTAGAAGCGGCATGTTAAAAGACAGACAGCATGCGACGTGAGTTGATTGAATTTTTAGTTTGGTTTGATTAAATTTGAACAAATTTATATGGTTTGTTGTGGAAAAATTTCAATTTTGGTCCGTTTACTTGTCTAAAATCATTTTTTTGGTACACTAACTTTCCATTCACCAATAATAGTATGTTATGTCGCAATTTGTATCATTTTTGGAACATTACACATCAAATACAGTACATTATATTGCAATTTGTATCATTTTTAGGCCATTAATCGTGAAAAAATAATGTACCATTTTCGCAATAGTGTCCCAATAGTGATACAAATTATAACATAATGTATTATTATTGATAAGGGGAAAGTTAGTGTACCAAAAATGGACTTTAGACAAGTAAGCGGACCAAATTTAATTTTTTTTTCGGTTAGTTGTTATTGGGTATATTAAAATAAAATTTAAAATAAAATGAATAAAATTAAATTGATGTAAAACTAGGAGAGAGAAGATTTAATGTGATGGTTAGTTAAAATTATGTGAGTTGATTAATAGTGAATTAAGGTTGATGTTGTGTGTAAAAATAATTAATTGATATTATTTAATTATATTGATAATATTGATGATAGTGACGTTGAGTTAAAGTTGAGTTAGAAAAAATGATTGAGTTAAAAATGATTGAATTATTTGGGTTGAATTTGCATCAAAGCATGCTCTAAGAGGTTGGGCTGCATCTCATTTTTTAGCAAGATTTTTAATGGTGAAAAATAACGTGTAGAGTTTAAGGTGCTCAACGTGTGTTATAACACGAATTAGAATAACATGTGTTGCAACACCAGAAAAGTTGAAATAGGGGAAGCACACAAAAATATAAAAAACTCTTCGGGGAACGTCCCACTACCCCTCAGAGCTCTTTCATTGATAATTCGATTGTGCACACGTGTATAACGTTGGACTTACAACAACTAAAACTCTCTTCTAGCCTAGCCAACAACTATACTCTAATCTAACAACTACTTCTTCGGTCACGTCCCGTGGACTTCTATCTCTCGAATCCCTCGAGCTAAAACTATACTTAATCCCTAAGTACTGATCACAAAAGTGTTTGAATGAAACGAAAGAAAAATCAAACGAAAGACTTCAGTTCTTTGATGACATAAGGACACCGAAAATTGAATAACAAAGATTGAAACAAAAAACTTGAAGCTCGAATGTTGTATGAAAGATAATGATTTCAGCAGTCTTTCTTCGATCTTCAAGCAGGGTGTACATACAACTCCTTAGACATGGAGTCTTCTCCAAGTTCTTTCCTTCTTACATGATCTTCTTGATCTTTTTCTAAAAAATAATGTAGTAGCATGGAAAGTAAATATCTTCCTTGATCTCATTTCAACGCGTCCCTTTCCATCTTTCATGCATGTCCATATCCTACGAAATATAACATAATAAGATCATGCAAATCTTTTCTAAATATATTAATCATATAGCTATTCGAAATGTATATTATATATAAATAAGAAGAATTTCCCTTTTTTAAACTTTGTGCTTGCAAGAACATATCTTCAATATATTCTTTTTGAACTTGTTGCCAAAAATAAAATCTTTCACAAGGAATGGTGTACTTGTTTATAAATATATTGATATTTGATTTTTTTTTAGTTAATTATGGTTAATCTTGAAAAAGTTGGTATGATTAGCTGTTGGTGAAATTTGAAGTTTAGGTCAAAATAATATTTAAAATAAAATAATTAAGACTGGTTTAATGCAAAATAGAAAATATACGACTAGAAGTGATAGGTAATTAAAATTATGTGTGAGTTGATGAATAGTGAAGTAAAGTTGTGATGTGTAGGGATGCTTGATAGATTATTTATTTATATTGATAATATTGAATATAGTGAGACTGAATTAAAATTTTAGTTAAATTTTGAATTGAGATTGAATTGTTTTGTATTAAAATCGCGGGGAAGAGAGTGCGGTCTCACCAGATGAAACACACCATAAGAGGGTGAGTTTAGATGCACCTTAGTGAGGTTCCATTCCAAAACTAATTTGTGATGGGAGGAGTAGCCCACTAGGATGAAGCGCACCATAAGAGGGCGAGCCTAGATGTACCTTAGTGAGGTTTCATCCCAAAACCAATTGGTGATGGGAGGATGCACCTTAGTGAGGTTTCATCCTAAAACCAATTGGTGATGGGAGGAGTAGCCACTGGACTTATAAACTAGGTTCATTTACCCTATATAATCAACGTGAGACAACTCACAAGTGATATTCCAATTGTGAGTCCTTTGTAAGCCCAAACCCACATAGGTAGAGAGATAAGCCCAAGCCCAGAGCAGGTCGAGTAGAGAGGTCATTGCAGGTTCTAGGACAGGCCCGCTCTGATACCATATTAGAACCGGGGGAAGAGAGTGCAGTCCCACTAGATGAAGCGCACCATAAGAGGGTGAGCCTAGATGCACCTCAGTGTGGTTTCATCTCAAAACCATTTGGTGATGGGAGGAGTAGCCCACTAAACTTATAAACTAGGTTCATTTATTCTATATAATCAAATGTGGAACAACGCACAAGTAACATTCCAACATTTTGAGATAGGTGGTAATTAAAGAAGTAAGAGTTAGACAACTTTAAGTTGGTCTAAATGAAACAGATTGAAAGTGGATGATAAAAAATGGACGTACAAGAAGGTGCCACGCGTCGGGTGGGTATTTATGAGATACCGCCCCTCCATCAGTAAACTAACCCGCTTTTATGATCACCACGCCAACACCTAGTAAAAGCTAGTTTAATTTAAGCACTGCAGTTATAAATATCTTGCTAAAAAAAGAACAAAAAAGAAGAGGCAACTAGCTAGTGAAGAAAAAAAGGAAGAGAAAAAAATGGCTTCAAAACCAGGGATTTTTACAGAATGGCCATGGACATGGCTTGGAAACTACAAGGTATAATGTAGTTTTTTATGTTGTCATAATTTGAGTTTTTTTAGAACAAATTAGTTGACTCTGGCTTATTTGTGTTGATATGTTGTGATTTTTGGTTTTGATCGTGTGATTAATGTTGTGCATTATATATAGTATGTGGTGTTGGCACCATGGGCAGTTCACGCCACATACGCATACATGGTGAAAGATGGTGCAGAGAGGGATCTTTCGCACGCGATAATATTCCCCTTCTTGCTAACTAGAATGCTTCACAACCAAATATGGATATCTTACTCTCGCTATCGGACCGCCAAGGGAGCTAATAGGATTGTCGATAAGAACATCGAGTTCGAACAGGTCGACCGGGAAAGAAATTGGTATGTAAATAAATTTGAATAATAGCGATGTTAACATTTAATTGATTCATTGATAGGATATGCTAAATGTGGATATTTTGTTTTGTGTGGTGAAGGGATGATCAGATAATACTGAATGGATTGATGTTCTATGTGGGGTACTTGTATGTGGAGAGGGGCCATCATCTTCCGTGGTGGAGAACCGATGGGGTCGTGTGGACTGTGCTGCTGCACGCGGGCCCTGTTGAGTTTCTCTACTACTGGCTGCACCGGGCGTTGCACCACCACTACCTCTACTCTCGCTATCATTCTCATCACCACTCATCCATCGTAACCGAGCCCATTACATGTACGTACAATTTTGCGCGTGCACGAAACAACATATAAATACATGAGCTAAATTGCAAAATATAGTCGGTATCTTTTACGCGGTGACAATAATAGCCACCATTGTTACGAAGTGACACTAGTAGTCAACAACTTCTAAAATTTCTGAATTATTACCTAAATTCGGCCAAACTCGACAGAATAATGTCAGAACTCACACTCGATTGATGTGGGTTGGGCTCGACGTGTATGCAGGTATGTAGACTATGTTGAGCCCACATCAGCCCAGTGTGCGAATTCTGACACAATTCGGTCAATTTTGTTCGGATTTGGACTTTGTTGCCAATTCGTAAAGACGATAACTAGTATACCGTTTCCACAACTTAAGCAATGCTGGCTAGATATTGCAGTTTAGCCTATATACATATATAGTTAATTTGCAACTAACAACGATCGCACACATATAACTAAGTTTGAGTAACTTATGTCTCGTGAATTAATTTTATTCGTGTTTGCAGCCGTCGTTCATCCGTTTGGGGAGCACGTTGCCTACTTCATACTATTCGCCATCCCGTTGCTGACGACTGTGCTGACTGGGATGGCCTCGTTGGCCTCGTTCGCCGGCTACATTACGTACATAGACTTCATGAACAACATGGGTCATTGCAACTTCGAGCACATTCCTAAGTGGGTCTTCTCCGTTTTTCCTCCCCTCAAGTACCTCTTGTACACCCCTTCGTAAGTAGTTTCATTGCTCCCTATCTAAATACATCTAATCACTTTTACATTGTTACATATGTATGTCTATTAACCTTAACTAAGTAGGTTGTTAATTTGTAATACAATATATCATCTTGTGGTATGTTGAATTAATTATAGTAAGTACTGATTGATAGAACCATCTTACCATGGCATTACTCTACCACTGAGATGAAAGGCTTATCTTAAGAGCCTCTCATCAATCCTGATAGATAGAAGTTGGCATGTGATCTCTTTGGATCATAAGTTGTAGATCAGTTCTTTTTTTTTTTTTTTTCTGAAATATTGATTAATTGATTGGCATCACACGTTTCTAGGTTAAAAAATAGGTGGGACCACCTGTTTATTTATGTATTGCTATAGCCAGCTGTGAATTTTTATGAGCTAGAATGTAATTATCACCTTTTCAACACACTAAATAAAATTGGTAGGGTTGGCAGCATGTGCATAAAATAAAATATATTAATAAATGAAATTGGGAACGTGTACTCGTGTAGCCTTGCTTTAGCCTTTATGACTAGGGTAGGGTTGCAAACAAGTCGAGCGACTCACGAGCCGCTTGCGAGAGCTCGAGTCAAAGCTCGATTCGAGCTTGAATTTGACCGAACTCGAGTCGAGCTCGAACTGCTCGAGCACGAACTCGAGTTGAGCTCGAACTCATATTTTGCATTGTCGAGCGACTCGATATATATGTTAAATTATTAAAATACTGTATATATATTTATAACCCAAGTGCTTAATGGTAATTTCATTGAAAAATTTTCGAGCTGAACTCGAACCGAGCTCGAGCATTTTATTTAAAGTTGAGCTCGAGCCTCATAAATCGTCCTCGAGCTCGAGCAGCTAAAAAAATTCAATCCTGCTCGACTCGACTCGACTAGTTTGGTGGCCTACAGTGATGTTCTCATCTTATCACCCTCCACAACACTAGTTGCAAATCCAAACGTCCCAACAAGATATTTATACTTTTGTCTGTTTATGCAATATAACTAATACCTCTCAATCATAAGAAAATTAATCAGAAATGCATTTAATATATACTCACCGACCCTAAACATGCTCACTAGACACGTGTCAACACCACATTTACTCACATTTACAGTGTGAGGCAAGGTATTATCCCAAGTTCCCAACAGACTCTTCAACATTCAAACATAGAAAGATTTCAAACTTTATATTTATAAATTGTTTTGAAACATGATAGATGTACAAGAAAAGAATAACCAACACATTGATGAATTATGGCCAATTATGATGACATTAAATAAAAATTAACATTGAAACTTACTCTACCTGGACATGAATTTGTAACAGTTGGATGATGATTGTAGATATAACAGACCTAATTACTTGTGCTATTTTGATGTTCAAACACAGGTACCATTCCCTGCATCACACTCAATTCAGGACCAACTACTCGCTTTTCATGCCGATGTACGATTACATATACGGCACCATGGACAGATCATCCGATGCGTTATACGAGAATTCGCTTGTTAGGACAGAGGAATCGCCAGATGTCGTGCACCTGACTCACCTGACGACCCCCGAATCCATATACCACTTGCGTTTGGGGTTCGCTTACTTAGCTTCCGAGCCTCACAACTCCAAGTGGTACCTGCGGCTGATGTGGCCCGTCACAATCTGGTCGATGCTGATCAATTGGATGTACGGTCGAACTTTCATTGTCGAGAGGAACACGTTCAAGCACCTCAAGCTGCAAACTTGGGCCGTCCCCAAATACACCATTCAAGTAATTAACAACATAAACGAACAATTACTAGGATCTTATACAATAATTAGTTTGAAAATGAAATGTTTGGTAGCCTTAATTATAGGCTAACATTAGTAAGTTTGATATGGTTTTGCAGTATTACATGCAATGGCAGAGAGAGTCGATCAACGGGATGATTGAAGATGCGATTCTAGAAGCCGACAGAAAAGGCACTAAGGTGTTGACACTAGGCCTATTGAATCAGGCAAGCCAAAATATACTCTTCTTTTTCCTTAATTTTCCCTTTCTATTTTCTTACTATACTGAATTCGGGAACGCGCGATTGATTCAGGATGAGGGGCTTAACAAGAGTGGGGAACTTTTCTTAACAAGACAACCTCAGTTGAAAGTGAAGGTTGTGGACGGGAGCAGCCTAGCAGTTGCTATCGTGCTCAACACCATCCCGAAAGGAACAACTCGGGTCCTCTTTGCGGGCAATCTCTCTAAGGTTGCGTACTCGATTGCCCTGGCCTTGTGCCATGGTGGCATCCAGGTAAAACAGACCGCTCGATTAAAAGTATATATGTACCTGATTGCCAAGTTTTCAGAAGTATACATGTACTGTAGGTATGCACGATGCACGAGGAAGAGTACAAGAAGTTGAAAACAAAGCTTACAAGTGAGGCTGTGCATAATCTGATGCTCTCTCCAGTCAATCTTCCAAAGGTTTGTTTATTTATTATGAAATACTAATATCATCAGCATTGGAAATTTGGAATATTGTGTGCTGATACAAATTAAGTGGTGATTTGCATTTTGCAGACATGGCTAGTGGGTGACGGGCTTCGAGAGACCGACCAACTGAAGGCATCGAAAGGAACAACATTCATACCCTTCTCTCAGTTCCCGCCCAAGAAAGCCCGGAAGGACTGTTTGTACAGCTGCACGCCAGCAATGCAAGTCCCGAAGCATCTCGAGAATGTCGATTCTTGTGAGGTTAGGACTTATTAGGATCATTCTAATAAAGCTCGATTTCCCTCCTGAACTTTTTTTCTTTTCCTTTATGTCTTAATTCTTTTTATTATTGTGTCGGTCGAGTACAGAACTGGCTGCCGAGAAGGGTGATGAGTGCAAGGAGGATAGCGGGTATAGTACATGCGGCTGAAGAATGGAACGTGCACGAGTGTGGGGACATGATGTTCGATATTCAGAAAGTGTGGCAAGCAGCTCTTGACCAGGGCTTTCGTCCCCTGACCGGAACAACTCCTTATACGAAGCTCGACTAAAGAAATCGTATTCTTCACATCTTAGGGATCATTTGAGATAATTCTTGGGATGTGTAATCTTTATTTCAAACATTATTAAGTACTGTGTCCTGTGTTAAGCAGTAACTACTTTTTACAAAGTTCGATGTATTTTGCTGAGTTTTTTTTTGCCTCAACTCAGAAGAACTCTGGATAATAGAACTTGAATTCTATGTGTTATCACTGATCACATGAAGAGTATAGACAATAATATTTGAACTATATATAGGAATTATTCCTAACATCTGAAGGTTTTAATAACATTTGTAAAGGAGTGAAATTTCGTTTGTCTATGTTAAACTATATATAGGAATTATTCAACTACTTCCGTTAATGTCTGATACTTGAGTTGTGATATTAAAACAGGGTAGTTAAATTCTGAGTTAAACCTGCAAATCGTGGTCAACGTAATTTTTTAATTAACCGAAAAAAAAAAAATAAATAAATAAATCTGCATCGTGGGCTTTAACCGTCCCCCCACTCTCTACACTTCCTACATCATGCATAAAACCACAGTTTTTGACTTCCAACTTATGATTCTTAAGGTTTGCTAATTATTCTTAAGGTTTTGCTAAAAGCTCAAATCAAAACTCATAAAGAGAAGTTAAAAAAAAAAAAAAAAAGCAAACAAAAAATGCAGAAATCAGTACTTGTCGTCATCTCCATCCTTTACTTCTTTTCATCCATCTTCTCTTCAGGCAATCGATCCTTTCCTTCCCTACACTCTATGCAACTGGTACCACAGATCTCTAACAATTTTTTTTTTCTTTTTTTTTTTCAGATGGAACCCGACTCATCATCGTCAACAACTGCGCCGACCCCATCTGGCCGGCCCTCCTCGGCACGGCCGGCCACCCGACCCCAGCCGCTGGCGGCTTCTCGCTCGGCAGCGGCCAGCAGGCGGCCATCGAGACCCCCGACCTCTGGTCCGGCCGCATGTGGGCCCGCACGGGCTGCAACTTCAACGACTCGGGTCACAGACCATGCGAGACGGGCGACTGCAGGGGACAGCTGGCATGCTCGGGAGCTAGCGGCCGGCCACCGGCAACAATGGTGGAGATGACACTGGGAACGGCGGCAGATCCAGAAACACACTACTACGACGTGAGCTTGGTGGACGGGTTCAACTTGCCGGCGTCGATGGTGCCGGCGGCTGGTGGTGGGGCAGCCGCTTGCGGGGTGGCGGCCTGCGAGACGGACGTGAACACGTACTGCCCGGACAGCCTGGCGGAGAGAGGGCCCGGCGGGAGGGTGGTAGGGTGCAAGAGTGCGTGTGTCGCGACAGGGGCTGACAAGTACTGCTGCACGGGGGAATACGGGAGTGCTCGAGCGTGCAAGCCCACGTCGTTCGCCAACCTGTTCAAAGCGTTGTGCCCGAGGGCATACAGCTATGCGTATGACGAGGCGGGTGGGCTCAAGACGTGCAGTCGGGCTAAGAGGTATGTCGTCACGTTTTGCCCGCCTAACTGAGATTTGAGAGAGGGAGAAGAAGGGTTTGGTGTTTGGATGGGTTGTTTTGAAATATGGTGTATTTTGTTCTTCCTTCATTAGCTTACATTAGTTTCTGTTGAGTTGTGTTGGGTAGTATATTTGATCTTTCAAACAATTTCTGTTCTGATTTTATGTGATTATAGTGTGTATTTATTTGGGTATTGAGAATTCTTCATTTTTACATAGCCACAACATTTCTCAAACAATTCAAGGAAATCACCAATATAACTGTTTCTATTACACCCTAAAAGAGGACTAGGTTTAAAGCGCAGCAGGTCGATTGTTTCCATAGTCACAGGTTCAGTTAACTGATGTCTGGAACAGATCATCCATACATCTAAACAGAAACCTAATCTCTCATTACATGTCAACCATATAAAATACAAATCACAACTAATCATTCAAGCAGTTGGTGGATTATTAACCAAGTGTAGCATCAAAGTGCACCATTCATAGAATGCCCCGAGCACGAACAGCCCGAGGACTACAACAATCAGTGCAATCTAACATCAAGGCCTCAGCAGTCAAACTACTTGCAGCACCACAAAAATTAAAAGTACTGTTGTTAATATGAAGTTCCAAAGTGTTCGTTAGCTATAAGCTTAGCTTCACTTAAGGATCCACATCCCACTCATACTTGCAACAAGAAGACCTTACCTGTATGGGATAATGCTTTGCACCTGCCTGCCTTAATGATTTTTAAGGAACGCAGAATTCACTATCATTTCAATTGCAGTAGTGTTCTCAAAAGCTTCAATGCGATTTTCATAAAGATCAGAAGATTGTTGGATGACTTGGCACTAGAGTGGCAAGGGTCGGCAGTTAAGGTTGAGATTGAGGTTATAGGGCGACTGCTTAGGAAATTTGGATTGAATCAAGAAAGTCGATTCATGAGCCAAAATACCAGAAATATTGAAATATATTCTAAATGAACAAATGCTGTGGGACTAAGCACAGAAAAACATAGACATTTCTTCATTCAAACTAAAGAAACCCAAAACATTGATGTGGAAGCAAAACTATGCGTGCTGTTCTCCAACTAGCCATTAGATAATCAAGTGATAATAAATTTGATCACATCAAACTATTCTGGAGCATAATCAGTAAGCATACAGACCCATAACCATTTTATCAACATTGAACACCAACATGAAATCACAATCTGCAAAGTACAATAGATAAATGTAGATGTACACTAGGTGTTTGCATATTCGAGATCAACTTAACAGAATCTGTAACATTTATTGACCTCTGGTTTTTGTCTTATCAATACAAATTCAATGAAGGGCTCCTGTTTTCTACCAAAACGAAAAGGGAAGCAGCAAAATGTATACGCGAGTCTGATACTAACCAAGTAAAGAGAATATACTTATCCAGTCATTTCACCACACAAAAACAGCAACATTAAAAAACAGAAAGAAAAATGGTTACATAAAAACAGACCTCAACTCAACTAAATGAGTACTGTGGTGTAGCCCTGGAAGCCATACTAGCAACCTGAGCTTGCATCTGAATGGCCCTCACTTTCGAGGCCGTGGCTCGGTGGAAAAACTGTTCACGCGACAAAAGCCTCACGTTCCTCAAGTACTGATCAAAAGGTATAGCCCCTTCTTGAACGGCCTTGTCCAATGCGTATACAGCGTCCTCTACTGCCAAATCCGATGCCGTGCAATCCAGCATCTGCTTCGAGAGGGCATCACACGGCTGGAATGCCTCGTCCACATCCACATCGCCACTCCCCGTTTTACCTTCATTCTCTCTCAACCATCCTTCCATAATGTCGGTGTTCATCAACACCATCTGCAGCTGCTGCTCGAGTGCTTCCTTTTCATCTTGCATTTCCTTCAGCCCTTTTCTCAAATCCTCTTCTCGCTTTCTAAGCACAGCCTGAGCCCCAAAAAAACCTTCCATCTCACCCTCTCTGGCCTTCCTCATCTCCCAAATATCACCGTTCAAATTCTCCACGAGCTTGTTTATAGCATTTTTCTTGAAAACCTCGGCAGGATCCTCCATGATTCTTCCACTTCCGTAAGGAGGCGGTGGAGTTGGTGTTGGCGGATAATCCCTCGGTGGTGTGACCGGCCGAGGCGTGGCGGACCCCACAGACGAATTCAAACTGCTGAAAGACGGATTCAAATTGGGGGTAGGATTGGGGCTAGGGTTTGATGGCTTGCGCTGGGAATAAAGCGGCGGATCCCGGGCAAAAAAGTGGCTCAGATTCCTCGCCAACTCAACCAAATTAGACGCCGGGAAGACCCAGGCGTGTATGTACGGGATCGAGACGACGCCGTTGGGGGAGACGAAGGGGTGGGGCCGCTTGATGATCATGTCGCGGGTGGGGTTAACGAAGACCAGGGGCGCGTGGCGGGGGTAGGACTCCATGAGCCAGATGATGACGGGGATGTTGTAGGTGACGCCCTGGAAGGACATCGGGACTGTGCCGTCTGCCTGGAGGAGGTTGACCGTGCGGCCGTCGTTGTGGGTGAAGACGGCGGTCTTGGGCTGCAGGGAGGGGTAGGTCTCGATGAGGTGCATCAGGTGCTGGCGGATGTGCCACTTCATGTCCTCCGCGTACGGCAGCGCCGCCGGCCCCCGCTGCGAGAGGACGCTGTTGAGGAATTGCTGCGTGAACTGGGCCATCCAAGATCTTGAGTCCCGACAGACGATGAACAGGCGGCGCGTGTGGAACAGAGCCTCTGTTTATCTGTAGATCTCGATCGCTGTTGGTAGATATCTGATGACTGATGTTCAATGGGGTTTCTATCGAAAATTTTGGGTGTTATAGTCTCCTTTCTGATCGACTTTCGAATATGTGAAAACAAGAAAAAAGAGTTGGAAGTATGGAAATTTTCGCTGCATTTACTATTGACATGAAGTAAATAAATATGCGGAATGACCAAATAAATTTCTTTTTTTTTTAATTTAAGTTTGTTTAATTTCATAAAATAAAAATAATTTATATTTCATATAGTAAACGTTATATAAAACAAAATATATTAATATTATATTTTTATAATTTAAGAATATTTAATTCTTTCTTACTTATATATATTACCTCGACAATAAATTTTAACAAATTAAAGTTAGTTAATTAATAAATACTGACCTTATGACACAAATTAATACCAAGTGTAAAACCAATGTATTTTGCATATTAATTAATATGTTTATAATATGTTAAATTAAAAAAAAAAATACATTTTGTTCCTTAATATGTTGATGATATGTTAATTAGTAAAAAACCAATGGATTTTGCTGCTCTTGAGGGTAGTCGAGAGCATGAAGAGGCCAATCATGGGGTTTTAGACGCACCAAAAGCATACGAAAGGGAAAACAAGAGATAATATATCAAGAATATATTCATATTTCATAAAACTTGACTACTTAAAATAATAGGAAATGAGTCATTTAAATAAAACTCCTAAAAAGCCCTAAATAAATAACTTGTCTAACAAGAAAATGATAGTTGAATTATTTCTCACCCAATAGAAAGACTAGAATAATTAAATAACTTTACTAACAAATCTAATATTAAAATACTAAGAGCAAATAAAAGAAATAAATAATTAAATTAAAGATCACAGAGATTTTGTTTGTCTTTATCTCTATCATTCTCACATTCTCGAAAAGGATTCGCCATCGAATCCAGTGCAATCTTGTTTTAAGAATTACAATATGTACCTCACCAAGCAGCCTTGAATTATAGTCATGCAAATCTTGTAGGAATTCATCAACGGTAAAAGGCTTTCGTTCCATTTCACGCCTCGCCACCAATTGAAATTTCTCCCCCGCTTTCGCAATTGGCAAAAACATCTCCATCTTTAGCACCGTATTTCACAGTTGTTAATAACCTCATCCTCTCAAAAAGAGGCAGACCCTCATATTAGGGCGACCCCTCATCATCAAAAAGAGGCGGACCCTCATATTCTGGTGACCCCTCTTTATCAAAAATCAGCGGACCCTCATACTCAGTCGTCCCCTCGTCATCAAAACGAGACATACCCTCATATTCAGTCGACCCTTGGCGTCTACAAAGGCCTCTGAAAGTTCGAGAATCTCGACTCGTAACGATGACTCCCAACGCCGACCGTCAGCGAAATAGTCGTCATTCTATGTCTGATGACCGAATGGAGTAAACTCAAAGATGGCGTCTTCATCGGCACCGTCTTCTACCCACGAGTGAGGTGACCGAGAGTGGCGCACACATGCCGCAACCCCCGCGCATCCAATCACGCCTCCCGTCGTAACTCGTAAGCACGTTTCGACCGATTATCTGGGATATTGGTATGAACGCCAAATCGTACTTCCTCTAGCCCTGCGGATAACTCAGCCATCTGACGACCCATGGCATTGAATAGTCGGCCAAAGCCCACGGCGAATCTGTAACTTGTCGGCTTAACGACTCGACGGCAACGTCGCGCTGCTCGTCGGTTGTTTTGGCTCTCCTTAGAGGCATCCAAAACGTAATGGACTCTGATACCAACTGACGCAGCAATAGCGTACGAAAGGAATAAAATCTCAAGAATATATTTTTATTACATAAAACTTGGCCGCCTAAAACAATAAGAGATGAGTCCTTTAAATAAAATTCTAAATGCCCTAAATAAATAACTTGTCTAACAAGAAAATGATAATTAAATATCTCTCCTACCAAATAGAAAGACTAGAATAATTAAATAATTTTACATACAAATCTAGAATTATAAAACTAAAAGAAATGAATAAATAACTAAATTAAAGATCACAAAGATCTTGTTTGTACTTATCTTCATCAGTTATTGTATGCAGGTTTGTACAAAGCGATATCATTGGGGGAACAATATTTGCCCGATTTTGCGTTTAGAATAGAATAATTTATCCCCGACTCTCTAGCTTCTTTTATCATCGTTTGATTCATGTTTTTTAATTGATTTCCATCTATTTACATTTTCTGTTATTTCTTACTTAATAGTTCAAAACTCAATCGTGATTAGAGTGTTTAGGTCTTTATTTTCTTTTCTGTGCGATCAACATCACTCTAGATTTCGAACCGCCTTCTTCGAGAGACCGACCCGAGGTTGGGAGTCATCCCTTACTCGGTAAAAACAAAATTTGCTACAACAGAAGGCAGTGCGCATTTCCATCTAAACCATGAGATTCGGTTTCCCATTTCTGTGGGAGAGAGAGTTATGGGATAGCGCTCTCTCCCCGAGTAAGCGATAGGGCGATAACGATATCTGGCTATAGTATTTCTGTTCTTTTTTGGTATTTGGAGAGGTAGGATACGAAGACGCGAAAGGGGATGGGACAACTACGTTAAACCTTATATTGTCCAAGGAAGGAACTGGGACCTCTGGAAGGGTAGCAAGGAGACCAGACTCAAAGTCGCAGGAGGTTTCAATATGCTCGATTGGAGATCAGAGTGAGGCTCGACGCTACAAGGAGAGGGACGAGGTATGAGGGATCGACCAACAGGAGAGGGATAGCTTCCAGCTTATAACACCTTTTTGGACTCTAAGCTATGTAAGGATCGTACGTAAATAACGGCGTAGTCTCGACAAGAGCTTCTTTTCTAGCTCAACTTTCCTCTCCTTTCCCAGTTATATTGATCCTCTCCTTTTGCATCTGAGCATATTGAAACCTTTCTTTCACAACTAAAAGTATATATACATATCGTGTAGTCAGGTGGTATAGACAAACTTTGCTCCACCATTATGAATATGAAAATGCTACATGTACATAATAAATGTACATAGAGATGTACATAACACTCACATGGAGTGGAATCCACTTAATTTTTTTATTTTTAGTGAGTCCACTCAATGTGAGTGTTATGTACACTCCTATGTACAATATTATGTACCTATAGCATTACTCTTATGAATATCGTGTTGTGCCTAGTTATTATTAGACTGTTAGGCTGCACCACGGATAAATTAACAAAAGTCAGAAAGATTGAAGGTCCTTGACAAGTATTTTTTTTATTTATTTATTTCTATCATGGATGCATCGTGCTAATTATATTTATAGCACATTGCCATTTCAAAACCAAAAGCTTACAGATAAAGCATATACCAATTATAAGCTCAAGATTGGCAGGCCACCTAAATGAACAATTGACCACATATTAATAGATGAATGTATGATCTTTGTCTACTTTTAATTTGATGATTATATTCAAATGGGTGGCATTTAACATGATGTTTATAAATAGACACTTGTCGATATAATAATAATAATAATAATAATAATAATAATAATAATAATAATAATAATAATAATAATAATAATAATAATAATAATAATAATAATAAGAGTAACAATAACAATAATAATAATACTAAAACTTTAGTGCAATTCCCACCTAATGTTTAGAGCGGGTGTTTGGTATTTCTGCATAATATTTGCCTTTGTCCTCATCTCTTGTGATAGTCACATCCACACATTCCACACCTTTATCCTCTTCTATAAAACCATATACCCCCACATACTGAGAAATCATTCTCAAAATCCACCAGACAGATCACATTCTAGACACGTTATCACATACCAAAACAAGAAAATCTCAATCCTTCACTTCAATCACCCCTCATATTTGCTGAACGGAGCGCAACTGAACCATACAAACCAAGAAAAAGAAAAAACAAGGAAAAAAAAAAGTGAAATGGGCACAAGAATCATCCTTTTCTTGAACCTTCTCATTTTCCTTTCAATCTCAGACTCATCTCATCAGGCCAACACTGGTGATTTCATCTTCCACGGTTTCAATAATGCAGGCACCAAAATAGCCACAGACGGGGCTGCTCGAGTCGAGCCCAATGGCATACTCAAGCTCACAAACGACTCCCCGAGGCTCGTCGGCCATGCCTTCTACGAAACACCAATCCAGCTCAAAGATGGTAAAAGATCCTTTTCATTCTCGACAGCTTTCGCTTTTGCCATAGTCCCAGAATACAAAAAATTGGGCGGCCATGGATTTGCTTTTACCTTGTCCAAGTCAAGGGACCTGAGTGAGGCCCTTCCGAGTCAGTACCTGGGACTTCTGAATGAAAACAATATGGGAAATTTCTCGAGCCACATTTTCGCGGTCGAGTTTGACACGGTCAAGGATTTAGAGTTGGGGGATATAAATGATAACCATGTCGGTATCGACATCAACAGCCTAATCTCAAATGCTTCTGCTAAAGCCAGCTGCTTCGACCAAAACATTTCAGAAAAACAAGAGATCCATCTGCAGAGTGGGAAGACAATCCAAGCCTGGATTGATTATGATGCCAATAGAAAGGAAATTAGAGTCACACTTTCACGTTCCTCATCAAAGCCCGCATTCACAATCCTTTCCTATCCGGTCGAACTTTCGCCGATTCTAAAAGAGTATATGTACGTGGGCTTCTCTGCCTCGACCGGTTTACTCGCTAGCTCTCATTATGTCTCAGGATGGAGTTTCAAGACAAATGGCCAAGCACCGTCTTTGGACCTCTCCCTCTGCCCCTCCATTCCCGGCCCGAACAAGAACCGCCTGCCCATAACCGTAGTTGCATTTTTACTAGCTGCCGGTCTTTTGGCTTTTACAGTCGGGTTCTCTTTCTACGTGGCCGGAAAAATCAACAACCGGGATGTGGTCGAACCGTGGGAGCTCGACGTGGGCCCACATCGATTTTCCTACAGAGAACTTAAACAGGCGACCGGAGGCTTCTCGGACAACAATCTTCTTGGGTCTGGAGGTTTTGGGAAGGTTTACAGAGGTACATTGCCCGACTTTAAAGTCCAAATCGCGGTCAAACGAATAAGCCACGAGTCAAAGCAAGGGCTCAGGGAGTTTGTGACCGAGATCGAGAGCATCGGGCGGCTGAGGCACCGGAATCTAGTCTCTCTTCGGGGTTGGTGCAGGCGCAAAACCGACCTGTTGCTCGTGTACGACCTCATGCCCAATGGGAGCCTGGATAAATACATCCGGGATGACCCTGGGATTGTCCTGAGCTGGCAGCAGAGGGTGAAGATTGTGAAGGATGTGGCGAACGGGCTCCTGTACCTGCACGAGGAGTGGGAACGGGCCGTGATCCACCGAGACGTGAAATCGGGGAACGTGCTGCTCGACTCGGGCATGAACGCACGGCTCGGGGACTTTGGGCTTGCAAAGCTGCACGAGCACGGGTCGGGCCCGGACACGACACGGGTGGTGGGAACGCTAGGGTACGTGGCCCCCGAGCTGACGAGGAGCAGGAAGCCTAGCTGGCGGTCGGACGTGTTTGCGTATGGGGCGGTGGTGCTGGAGGTGGTGTGTGGGAGGAGGCCGGTGGAGGTGAGGGCGGGACCAGAGGAGTTGGTGCTTGTGGATTGGGTGTGGGACAAGTGGAGGGAAGGGCGGGTGATGGAGGTGGTGGACCAGAGGTTGGGAGGGATGTTTGACCGAGCCCAGGCTGTGGAGGTGATCAGGCTTGGGCTTTTGTGTTCGGACGACGAGCCCCAGAAGAGGCCGAGGATGAGAGAGGTGGTGAGGGTCTTGGAAGTGGAGTTGACGGTGGCCCAGACTTTGGGGGAATGTGGTCCTGATGTACTTACAAACACACCCTAAAAAAATCCTATCACATATATTTCTTTTGGGTACAATTTGTTAAGAATACCAGTGAGACAATTCAACAACATTACAACAACAACAACATAGCTTTTTAGTCTCATACAAGTTGGGGTAGGCTACAATTCAACAACATTATACAAATCATTATAAGGTAGTTTTTGTCCAAGGTAGTTGGATGTAATGAAGATATGATTCCCAGATGAAGTGAGATTAAAATGAATTTAGAGAAATAACTCTGTCCATGAATAGAGGGTACTTTTCATCTTAGAAGGAATAACTTCAACACACAGAAAAATAAAAACTTGTTCGCAACATAACCAAATTTAAGAGACTTAACAGGTCATAGGAAAAAGGACAGCACTAAAGAGACTTCCAAAGCTCCTACTGGTATGTTATACACATTATGAAACTCATAAAATACAATTCATTAGGCAGAAAAAAAAAATAAATAAAGGAAAAAGGGTAAATCGCAGAGGCAAAGTAAAAGGCAGGGAGAACACAGCGGCCGCGCCTGAAATGGATTCCAATAAAATCCAAGAAAAAAAAATTAACTGATTGCTTGGTCATAATGATGGGAAGAACCAAAAGAATTGAAGTACGACTGCAGTCCACCTCAACATAGAGAATACAACATTTCTATAGAAATATCTAATATTCCATGTTGGGCGACACGTCGCCTAGTTTTAATTCCTGGTAGACTTTATGTTATGCAAGTGGTCAGAGCTCAAAAGGAGGCAGGATAAAGAAAATTTTACTGATTGGCATAATCCTATCGAATTATTCTAGAACAGATACTATGATTTTCAGCAAAATACTCATAACAGAACTAGAAAAGCACACCTGATTTTCTTTTCTCTCTCCCTTTCCATTCTTTTTTCCAAAATCCAGAAGTCGTTTAGTCCCAGAAAATACAAAAATATGCCACCCAAATGATATTTCAAGCATACATGAAAGAGAGACACAATTCAGAAAATGAATATAGATGTTAAGGGGAGAGGACATAGTTCAGATAATTAATAGTAAATAACAATCACAAAATCCATTATTGATACATTATACCTGGGATTCAAGATTGTTCAAAATATCGACTCAAAAACTAACAGCAGCTCCTCCACTGTTGAGTCTTGACAAAACTCAATACAGCATTAACAATGAATAGTAAACATCAACAGCAACGAGTGTACTATTTGTGAAAATCCCCAAACGGCAAGCACAAACAGAAAACAAAACAATGGAAATATTCTGGCATTTCCAAGAAAACTACCTCAATTAGTCGCCAAATGGAACCAATACAAAGCTGCCACCGGTGGACAATCTTCCATGGAGAGGGCTCTCAGTCGCGAAATCGCTAACGATATTGCTTCATAAAGTTGTCTTTATGAGGTCGTAACTGCAGACAAGCGTACCAACAGTCGACAGTGAGTTTTCACTTTATGTCCTGCAAACTCACCTCCTGTTAAGTTCAATTATAGCACACTTGAGCTTTGCACAAAAAATAAAACGAGGGCCTAAAAAGTGAGTTCTAACACCCATCCCCTTATTCCAATTTCCATAATCATCTGAGTTATTTATTTGTCCTTCCCGACAAAAAACAGAGGTTTTCAACTAAATGACATGCTGAACATCTGAAAAAAGAAAAAGCAGTCATAATTACAGCTTTTTGGATTTATATTCTTTGCATATCAAAATTTAGGGAGGCATATAATCTTGAATTATAGAAACATTAAGGTGAATACCTACTATCCCAATAATACCAAGTTACATTCTTCTCACAGCTCAAAGATTTAAAACTTAATACCTCACCAAATTCAGCAACTTCAGAAAGGAACAGAAAAGCCACAACTAACCTCACGAACACCATTTCCTAGCATTCTGGAACATGCGCAACCACGGGCTAGGGCCCTTCCTATCCACTTCCCAGTTCTCCGGGTACCACGGATACTGCCACATCATGAAGCACCTCTCTGGATGAGGCATCATCGCTAGATGCCTCCCGTCGGGCGAACAAATGGCAGCCACTCCCAAAGGAGACCCATTCATATTGAACGGGTACACCTCTGTGGGATTCCCACCATCATCACAGTACCTCACGGGGGTCAACCCTGACCCCACCACCATACTGAAAACATCCCCGTCAGGGAAATAAGCCCGTCCCTCCCCGTGTGCGGCCCATACCCCAAGGGTACTTCCCTCCATTCCCCTCAGCATCAGGGCTGGCGACTCCTCTATCCTCACACTTGCGAAACGGCACTCGAACCGTCCTGAATCGTTGTGAACGAACCTCGGCTGCGATGGGTCCCCACCACCTCCAAGCACGCCTCCAACCCCAGGACCGGGTACCCACCCAAGAAGGGCCATGAGCTGGCACCCATTGCAAACCCCCAGGCTGAAAGTGTCTGGTCGATCGTAGAATTCCCGGAACTGGCTCAGGAGGGGCTCGTTGAACCTGATGGAGGCAGCCCACCCTTTTGCTGAGTCAAGCACGTCTGCGTAGCTGAATCCCCCAACGAATGCAACACCTCGGAATCCGCCCAATGAGATGGCCCCACTCAGAAGGTCGGACATGGTGATATCCCATGGCTCGAAACCGGCTGCGTGGAAGGCAGCCGCCATCTCTCGGTCCCCGTTGCTGCCTTCCTCACGAATGATGGCGACCTTTGGCTTCGATTTTGCCGTCATGTATTTTTCGTCTGTGCATTTTGGGGTGAAGGTGAGGGCCCATGACGGCTCGCGACGGTTTCTTAGGCCTTCTTGCTCGAGCTCCACGCATGATGCCAACCGCTGGAGTTTTTCCAGACTGAAGCTGGTTTCTTCCCACATGTCCCTCAGTCGAGATGTTTGTTCACTCAAGTGAGTAGTGCCGTCGACTTTTAGTTCTACTGCCAGCGAGGAGCAAGATTGGCCGATTATCTTGGCAGATACTCCAAAATACGAGAGCTTTTGCATGACAGAATCGAGATTCTCTTTTCCGACCTCAAGCACAAGGCCAAGCTCCTCCGCAAAGAGTGTTTCGGAAACACTATTCTCAGTTGATGTGAGGTTAAGACGAACTCCGCAGTTGCCCGCGAACGCCATCTCGAGCACGCACACTAGCAATCCCCCGTCACTTATGTCATGCCCGGCCGAAATAAGTTCCTCGTCAATGAGACTTTGCACCGCATTGAAAGCGCTTTTGAGGTAAGACACGTCGTCCAGATCAGGACATTCGTCGCCAACTTGATCGAATACCTGAGCAAGGGCGGACCCACCAAGGCGTCGTTTCCCCTTTGCCAAGTCGATATGGAGGATAACACCGTCACTGCCGAGCTTCAGATCTGGGGTGACAGTTTTAGTAATATCAGGACAAGTCACATAAGTGCTTATTACTAGGTTTCCAGGAGCTTTGACAACCTCTCCAGACGCGTGTGCCGCCATGGAAAGACTATCTTTCCCTCCGTCAATGGCAATGCCGAGTTCGATCATAGCCTCCGAAAGGGCTATGGCCGCATCATACATATCGGCCCCCTCCCCATCCAGTTTGGCTGCATACATCCAATTCCCACTAGCTTTCACATCCGAGAGTGAAGTGACCTTGGCCCACACAAGATTAGTCAGAGCTTCCCCTACAGCTAGCCTCGCCATTGCTTTTGGATCCAAAAGACCTTTGATCGGCTGCTCCCCAATTGAACACGCCCCTCCCGTGATGCCATCATAGCTCTGAGCGATCACAGCCACATCAGCAAGTGTTATTTGGAGTGGGCCCACGGTTTGCTGCTGGGCCACGAGTCCCGTCACACACCTATCGACTTTGCTAGTCAGGAAACGCTTGGAAGCAACGGAAGGAAGTCTCAGCACCCTCTTCAACAAGTCGGTAACAGTAATCCCAGGAGCAATATCGAGTGGCTCTGTTGGGTTCCGAACTCGGTGGAATTCAAAAGTCTTGCGAGGCATGTCGCCAAGAACCTTCTCGAGCTCGAGATCCACAGCAGGTGGCGGCAGGGGCAGCCCGTTCGACTCGCACCTCTCAACAGCCAAACGATCCACGAGAACTATACGCCCTTCGCCGCTTATTGTCCCAATAACCGCCATTGAGACCCTCTCCCGTTCACAAATGGACTGCAAGAGTCCATGGCTTTCAGGCCTCACCAGAATAGCATCCTGCTCCTGATACTCCGCTCCCCAAATCTCTAGGACCGACATCGTGTAGTCCCCAACCACAACCGCACTTATGTCGATCGTAGCCCCCTTAGGGTATATTATTTCTTTGACAACATTACAATTCCCACCTGCCCCTTGGTCGTGAATGCTAACTATGGGGTTACTCTCCCCCATCTCGACACAAGCGCGTACGACTCGGTAAAGCTTCTGCGCCATCTCCGCATCCCCACGTTGTACTGCATTAAAATCCAACTCAGCATCGTTCTGCCCGCTGACCATGCTGGAAGCGGCTCCACCGCCCATTCCGATACGGTATGCGGGCCCACCAATCTTCACGACCAGCATCCCAATCTCAGGCTCCCCTTTGGATATGTGGCCATGGTCGATCTGACCAATACCGCCACTGAACATGATGGGTTTCAGCCACTCGCGCCTCTCACCGCTCGGGAGCCTCATCCCAAAAGTCCTTGTGTAACCCTGAATCAACGGCTCCCCGAACTTGTTGCCATAGTCAGAGGCACCATTGCTGGCATCAATGAGAATCTGAAGAGGAGAAGCCAGGTTCGATGGGTACGAGAAGGACGGGTCCTCCCATGGAGCATATGAACCCTCAATGTTGAGATTCCCCACACAGTAGCCGGCCGTGGATGCCACAACGAATGAGCCACGGCCAGTCGCGTGGGTGTCCCTAATCCTACCACCAGCGCCAGTCTCGGCACCAGGGTATGGGGCAACGGCGCAAGGGAAGTTGTGGGTCTCGGCAGTAAACAGAATGTCAAGGTCACGGGCACTTAAGTCCAGCGGGCAGGTTGTTCCTGGACTCGTGGGCCTCAACTGGTTTGCTAGAAACCCTCTGATTG